AGGAATGCAGGGAAAGGAAAAGGTAGAAATGCATCTGTTAAGAACTAACTTTCTGGGCATTTATCAAATATTCTGCGTAGAGGGACTGCTAGATTAGTTAGGAAAGGTCAGGAATTTGAGAACAGAAATCCCAAAGTTTCTGCTTCCTCTAGCGATCACCGTGAAATGCAAGACTGGAACAGGGAAGTGGAGACTCCTTGTTTTCATAGCTAACCTTGATGTGTCTTCTTTATTCATTGAGTAGTTTTATTAGTAAATGCCCCATGGTCTAAGATTACATGCAGTGCACCTTCTATAAACATATTATGCCTGGGGACAGCAGCAACTTTGCTAACTCCTGCAACAAGGAATTTCGCATGCAAGACAGACAGCAATACTGTGTTTATTTGGGCCCGACAGGAAACATATCCTGGTAAATATTAGCTAAGACATAGTTGGGTTACCTTCGCTGATTTAAACGGAAAGGCCTTTAAGTGCTGTATTATATAACTTGCTTTACATAATCTCCTCTAGACAGTCTGTGATATACTTGCAGCATGCTTACACAGGAGGGAATTTTTCTCCTGGTGAAGCAAATCAGCACAATTCAGTTGTGTGTGGGAGCAAGAAAGATTTGTTGAAGGCAGAATTCCTTTGTCATCCTGCCTGAAGAAGGGTGTAATTCTCCTGCCTCTTTGATCTGCTTGGGGGTAGCTTAAGCAGGGCTTGTAAAACAGCCTCTGAAGAGGGCATGCAAGATTTAAAGAGGCAGGAGAAGAATGGTAAGGTTGGGGATCTATTTTCAAGGTTCCAGTCTAATGACCATGCTGAGTAGCTTGCTCTCATCTCTTCTGTGATTATCATCTGTTGAATTGTGTGTCCAGATCATCAGTCAAATTCCCAAAGATTTCCAATGAAGGCTGAATCAGACCTACCAGAATTGCGGTAGCAATTTGTCACGGGCATGAGAAGACGGGTAGATTAGAAACCAGAATTTTTCTTCAGATTTCTTCTTCACATCTATTCACTAGGATTAGGAGTAAGCCTGCTGTAGGTCACCTATGCCAAAGGTACACGTGTGCAGCTTATGATGCGCAAGGTGTAGCATCCCAGCATTTTGCACACTGTGTCTGTTCTTGTAATGACAGTCAGTGTTCACATTATTGCAGAAAAGGACAAAATGAATGCCAATGATGGCCAAAGGTGCATGTTTTTGCACAAGAGATAGGGGTGTTAAAAGTTAAAAAGTAGAAAACTTCTTGGAATAGTGTGTTGCACAGGAATATCTTATTTTTGCTCAAACTATGCATTAACATGAACATATGAGGAAAATAAAACTTGAGGATTGTTTAGAAAGTGACCTTATTCCCCCCTTCCTCGGATATGTGCTTAAAGTTTAACCTTTGTCAGCTACATTTGCAACCAATAAATTCAACAGCAAAAGTTTAAAACAGTGAAAAGCTACATTACAACAAAAGTGACCTTCATTTTTTTCATCCTAATTTTAATGAGCAGAGGAGAAAGGTGATTTCAGCCTAAGTGCAGAAAGAAGGCAACTGCAGAGACATAGAAACAAATTCATTCTCAGGGCTGTTGATACAAACAAGGACATAAAATCACAGAATTTACCTCTGGCTTTACAAAATGTGGTTAATTTGTACTTAGACTCCATCACTGATAATTTAATATTTTCCCTTTGCTACTGATTATATCTAAAGGCTTTCTCTGGCCCTCCCCATCTCTTCATTATGTCTAATGGAAAGATTTCTGTTTTCGCCAACTAAAACATTAGGCAACTTCTCTAAGTTAATCTAGATGCCTACAGAGTAAAGGAAAGAAAGACTTTGCCAAAGAGCCATTCGTTCCTTCATAAAACAATTGTGGTGAGAAGGTAAGTGGACCCTCAGAGAGTGCATATGCTTCCTTTACTGTCTATTAGGAGTCAGCCATACAACTGGCATAGGCAATTATCTACCATTTAAATGGCTGAAGTTTAATAAGACAAATTTCACATGAAATAACTCACATCAGTACATCTAATCCACTACATGCCTGTGGTTTATCCCCATTTTGGACATATGAAATTAGGGCTTAAGCTAAACGACTCTTGCCACAGATATTTAAGCACATTATTACCCCCGAAATCAAGCGATTTGATCCATTTGATAACAATTTGAGCCCAAGCATTTTGCTCCCAGCCAAAAAAGAAGCCTGGGTGGGACAGTGATATGATGCAGGGCTTCAGATAAGTGTTGTAGCATATTTAGCTTGCATCTAAAGAAAAAAAATCTTTCCAGGGGTTGTTTTAGTGTCATCCTCTATTGGCAAGGGTAATGAGGCAGTAAAGTAACAGTAGTGAACCATTGCAAAGCGCCCAGCATCTCCTGATCTGAGATGCACTCTTCAAGTCCAGGTCCTTCTAAAGAAATCATCATCCATGGCAGCTGCAGGTCCCCAAAACATTCAGGGCTCTGTGTGGCTGGGGATGCTATGTCCTTCGAGACACAGTAAACTCTGAACATGCTTTGTGTGAGTCACCAGTGAGAATATTTTCCCCTCAAGTTCTTGTTTCAGTTGGTTTTAAGCTGAAGCATTTTGCCCCCAAGAAATATGATTACAATACACAGTTAAATTCAGCTACATGAGAAAAAATTTGTTTAAGGCTAAATAAATAGGCACACAGGAGTACACTTTCAGGGTGGGCTAGCACTGTGCACTAATCAAACACATCCTCTCTAGCAAGGAAACACATTTTATGCTTGAAGGGTGATCAACTCTGAAATCAATTATCTCTTCTAAGAACATTCCTAAGTTTGGGGTCAAAATTGGACCCTAGATCTGTCTATGAACACAGCAGGCAACCTAACTCTACAGTGGATCAACCTCTCCCTGCGCCTGCATGTCTGAATAACTCCAAGACTGGGAATTTTCCAAATATAGGTTTATCTGAATTCCAGTCTGAACACATCTGCAGTATCTTCTCCATCAATGACTTGTATCCCTCGGTCTCTTGTTAACATGGCCAATAATAAAGGACAAAATTAACAGGGGCACAGATCTACACTTTCCTTTAAGAATGGATTTCTGATTCTTTAGTCTTAGCATTGCCTTTGTGGTGAGCAAACATTCAATTCTCCTGCTGCTGAAATTTAATCTTTTCTTTTATTCTCACCTAAAAGTCCTGTTTGAGATGCTTTTGAGATTCCAGAGTTTGAAATTCACACCCTCAAACCCAGTCTATAACTATGTTAAAAATAACTGCGTATCTGGCTTAATTATGCCTTCTGCATCTACCCTCATTTCTTCCTAAATTCGCTATGCACATCACATCCAGGGTCTCCTAATGCCAATCTACACACACACATTTGCATAGACAGGCCCCACTTCATCTTCTACAAGGCAGAAAGACCTCCTCAAAACCCAGCCACTCCCCACCAGTTTTCCCAGCTTATGTCCACAATGAAGGTACCTGCTTCTCTATGCCTCCACTTACTCAACCAAGCAGAGGACAATATTAACAGCTGACTGATTCGAAGTTTACTGAGCAAGCCAAAATGATTATTTTTTGCTGGAATGCTCCTTAGGCAAGAATCTGTTAGTTTCCTCATATACATACTGGAACTTTTCCCCACCAGCTGAGGTAAAATATGTAAATTATATAGCTTTTTCCTAAACAAGCGTCTTGAGACTTCGTCAGAATTTGCTTCCCGCCTGCGGGTAGAAATGAAACCTGCATTACCCATAATGTTTATCGTTTCTTACTCTCCAGAACACTGTCAGCAGAGGGAATGTTCAACTACCTCCGGAAACGCTTTACCAGCCACATCAGAGAACGTAGCCGGCGAAGGGCAAGGCTTGTCTCTAAAGATGGAAGGTGTAACATAGAGTTTGGCAACGTAGAACAGTCAAGGTTTGTCTTTTTGATTGATATATGGACAACTATCCTGGATCTCAGATGGAGATACAAAATGACTATCTTCATTTCAGCATTCTTAGGCAGCTGGTTTCTATTTGGTCTCCTCTGGTATGTCGTGGCATACATACACAAAGATCTTCCAGAATTCAATCCTTCCATAAATCACACCCCCTGTGTTGAGAATATCAATGGCCTGACTTCAGCTTTCCTGTTCTCCTTGGAGACCCAGGTAACCATTGGTTACGGCTTCAGATGTGTCACCGAACAATGTGCCACTGCTATTTTCCTGCTTATCTTCCAGTCTATCTTGGGGGTAATCATCAATTCTTTTATGTGTGGTGCCATCCTGGCCAAGATATCGAGGTCCAAAAACCGGGCTAAGACCATCACCTTCAGCAAGAATGCTGTCATCAGCAAACGTGGCGGGAAGCTCTGCCTCCTCATTCGGGTGGCAAACCTCAGGAAGAGTCTGCTGATTGGGAGTCACATCTACGGAAAGCTGCTGAAGACCACCATCACGCCAGAAGGAGAAACAATCATTTTGGACCAGGTCAACATAGAATTTGTAGTTGATGCTGGCAATGAGAATCTCTTCTTCATTTCCCCATTAACTATTTATCATATCATTGATAAGAACAGCCCATTCTTCCACATGGCAGCAGAAACCATTCTGCAGCAAGATTTTGAATTGGTGGTGTTTTTAGATGGCACTGTTGAAGCCACTAGCGCTACCTGTCAAGTGAGGACATCCTACATCCCAGAAGAGGTGCTCTGGGGTTATCGCTTTGCTCCCATTGTGTCCAAGACCAAAGAAGGGAAATACAGAGTAGACTTCCAGAACTTCAGTAAGACAGTGGCTGTGGAGACTCCTCACTGTGCCTTCTGTCTCTACAATGAGAAAGAAGCTAAAGCCAAAGAGAAGAAAGGTTATGACAATCCTGGTTTTGTCTTGTCAGAAGTTAGTGAAACCAGTGACACAAAAATGTAGTTCCAGATATTCATGGGACTGTACCTTTTTTTCATAATGAATTCAATCTTGAGAGGATTAATAACTTAGTAAACCAAAAAAGAAACACAGGTTTGTTTTTACTCTAAAACAGCATTTATCTTCTCAAAAGCCTCAAATCAAAGAGGAACAGAATACCAGTGATCTCCAGAACACTATTTAACTACACTATATATATATTTCATAGAATTTATATTTTTATACCTATGGGACATTTTATGAAGCTGCTATGTTGGAATGTCCAATTCAAGTTCCCAGAGGCATGCAAGTCTGTTTAAAAGCCTCAAAAGATGGAGAGAAACTTTAGGACATGTTAAGAGATACACAGCTGTTGGAATGAGAATGTGAAAAGGGGAGACAGAAGGCAAAGCTAAAGAAACCTAAGGGACTTAGGAGCCAAGACCTCAAAAAAATTTATGTTTCTTGGTTGCTAAAGTCTTCTGTGCAAGCAAACTCTCTGGCTCCGGAACACTTGAGCACTTTTGAACATTTTGAAACAATTCCTTCTTTGAGGCTGGTACATTTACAGAAATGGGGCATTAAGGGCTGGTACATGCTTAGGAAGCTAGAAAAGACAAAGCTTGGGCCATGCTGCTGCATCTAGAACTCTGTAAAATACAGCTTCTCTCCTGTGAAAGCCTTTGATTCCTTTCAGGGAAAAATAGCCAAATGGAAATGAAAAGTGAAAAAACAAGGAGAAGCAGAGACCCACTATGGGGGAAGAGGAATTTTGCAGCTTATTCCTAACTGTCTCGCCCTTCAGATACTCTTCTCTCCACTTCCCCAGGAGCTGGCTAACTGTGAAATTAGGAAACATCTGAAGACAACTGTCCAGAAAGAAGGTGAGTCAGTGGGGAGATGAAGAACACATTGATTACTTCACACCTGGCAGAAAAGCAATCCACTGGGAGAAGAGAGGAAATTCCCAGCTCTAGATGTATCCTTCAAAAAAATCCACAATGCAAACACAGATTATCTTTTCCTTTGAAGCATGAAGGTCTTGTTAAAACAAAAACACAGCATAGGAGCCTCCCACCAACAGTTGGCTTCAGATTTAGTTCCAAACGGTTCATCTCACCACAGCAAAATGTGCATCCCTACAGGAAACAAGTTCTGCTCAGTGGTAGTTAAGTAGTGGTGAACATTTTCTGGGTATGATTTTTGACATTCAAGTTTCAAATGCAACAAGAAGCATCAATAACTTTTTGGTGAATTTCCAATAACCCCCGCCCCCCCCCCCCCCCCCCCCCCCAACTAAGTTCTTTTGCTGAGAGTTCAAGTGGCAGACCAAAGAGAGAGAGGTTTTTTGGGGAACTCTTCCCAGTGATGTAATTCAGCTCATCTATTTTCAACACTGTGGTAAAATGGAAGAATCTTTTTAAAAGCTGCTGGACCGAGCGGTTTTAAAAGAAGGGGAGAATTAAGCAGGTCAAATGATGACAAGACAAAGTTATTTTGCAAAAGAACATAAGTATGGAAAGCAAACTCTGGGAACCAAGAGTGTTCAGGTCTCAGTCCCAGTGTAGTATCAACTCCTTTGCTCTGAACCAACAAATCACTTTAGTATGAACCTCAGATTTGCCATCTGTAACACGGGACATGAAGTACTTAAGCTGTACAAAGAACAATGTTATGAACAATTATGTCACTAAAGCACTTTAAAAGCCAATTCTCAACTGTCTCAATCTTTCCTCTTTTCAACACACCACCGTTACACCCTTCACTTCTAGACGGACAGGTCAGCACAGAAAGCTCTGTTCTCATCACACATCAGAATTACTAAAAATGGCTGCACTATGTCTAGGACTATAGACTGCTAGAACCGCCAGCCAAAACCTTCAAGGTAGTTCACAGATATTGCCCAATATTTTAAGGGTACTGTTTTTGCAACCTTGCAACATAACATCGTCAACTGTAAAAATACTCTTACTGTCCCAATCACCACAGCATCTGAGCCCCTCCAGCCGCTGGTGCATCTCAGATCGGCTGCTCGGAAGGACAGCTGGTTTGTCCTTCACTCTGAATGGCACGCCAAAGAACAAACAGTGAGCTATAGTGGCCATCCACAGAACTCTAGGAGGGAGCAGGGAAGTGAAATGAAGTCTCGAGAGCCCCAGGCTTGTCTGAACCAAAAGGCTACTGTGCTGCTCAGTCCTTCCATAGTTGCTGCTACGTTTCCTTTTTAGGCTTCCTGTACAGTTGCCCTGTGTGTAACCTCCCTAGAAAGCAGTACTGTCAGTATTCAAGGCTTACAACTTATACCTCTTACCCCAGGAGAAGAGATGCACCCAGATGCCCTTAATAAAAATAGAAAGAAAGTCTTCACTGTACAAAAAAGGCAAGTCGATAGGAAATCCATTTAAAAGGTCAAACCCAGCTATGCAATGAGGAGACAAGAAAGATTCCTGTTTTCTTTAGGTAAAGCTGGTTTAGGATGTGAGTGCTAGGAGGGGGAAAAATAGAATCAAACACCACTCCAGTGCCTGTCCAAGAGGTGCTGTACCTCCTCCAAAGTTTAAAGGGTCCCTACACAATGCACTGTCAGGCACTGCCCTTGGAAAGCCATCTCAAAGTCCTAGCCCTCTAAGTTCTTCATTGCACAGCCTTTTAACCTTTTGCCCTACGTCTCTACAGCACAAGCGTGAGGAGGCGTTATTCCATGTCTAGAAGTATTAAGTGCTACCACAACTCAAACAGGAGGTACTTGATCTCGCTGCAAGGATGATTGCCTGTTGTTCGCTCTATTCTGACAGCTGCACCTGCCCCAAGAGCTAGCTATGCTGCCTACAGTAAGGGAAGGGTGATTGCATTCTTCTACATGTTTTGGTGTTACAGAGCGGGGACTGGCTACTGCACCAACAGAGAAGGTACAAGGGGGACATATCCAAAGTTGACAGGGCCATGGCTGAGCTATCAAGCTTACTTAGAGGGGGATCATACCGGGACCTAAATGGGAATCTCGGAACGAAACCCTCCTCCCATGAGCCTCCTGCTGATTGTCACTTCAGGAAACGCCTGCCAGTCCCCGCCTGCCAGCGGTGCACCAGGCGGGAGATAGAGCACTGCAGTCAGAGCCCAGCAGCAAGAGAACAATGAGTGGAATTTCCTCTTTCTGTCCAGAGGGGCTGTTTGTCACCAGAGAGATAAAGGCCCAGGGCAGGGAAAAAGGGTTATCAGGAGACACGCTGCACACAGTGCCACTCAGGACAGACTCCATAGGAAATCTATTTTGGGGGCTGTCACCCCTACTGCCATTAAAAGAAAGTTCAGTTAAGAGGATGAAAATAAATTTAATCTTGCTGAGCAGAAGCGGCTGGAGGGAACCACAGACCCGATACTAGAAAACAGACTGGTTTCTTTACCCGTGGCACCGTTTCATTTTTACATCTCCACAGCACTCTTCTCAAGCCTTATGGTTCTCTTCTCCCTCCCTCCCTGTCCATCCAGGCTGCCCGCACTGTCGCAGCCACAGTTAGTCCTTTCCACAAAGAGGAACGCGCTAGGGAGGCCAAAAGCCCAGTCAATACAAAGCAAAGGACCAAAGAGAAAGTCCTGTCTCTCCAGGAGAAGAAATCAGGCCATGTACTTATTGCTGGATTAAGGCCTAACGGATTTAGCTGTGAAAGTGTTAGCCAAGCAGCTAGGCTTGGGAATAATGTGTCTGCACTAAACTTAATTTATCTTCTCATTTCACAAACAACATGTTTCTTCTACTGTATTTATTTTAAACATTCATTCAAGCTGTGCATAATATTTCAATCATTTTGAAATAGATTTACCCTCCTGCTGGCAAACGAATAAGGCATCCTGCTGACTGCTGGAGAAAGGGCCATGAATTAAAATAACTGCTTTTAGTAAACTGACATGTGCTAGTTAGCTGTCTCCACACACTCTTTGGTAGTAACTGGTGAAAAGAGACCCTTAAATAATAATAAAAAAGCCAAACCCTGGCAAACTGTTTAGATACTCATACTGGCTCGCATTGTTGGAATGTGGCAGACCGCTGCTAACTAGCTCACAGCAACTGCCGGGATAACTTCTGCATGTACACGCTTCCTTGTAAACTCAACTACTCACCCATAAACAAGTCAGCAGTGTGCAAAGCCCCGACACAAGCGAGAGCAGCTGAGGTGTCACATCCTCTTTCCTCTCCCCAGGCAGCAAACTGATGTGGTTAGACTCATGCGAATTCAGCTGGGAAGAGCCTTTATTTCCCCTTCCCTTTTATTTTGCCCCCTTCCATTCACCCCCGCCTTGAACCGTCATGGTGCTGGCCCAATTCCTGTTCCCCACACAAGCAGGGAGAAACCACAGCACAACGCAAGGAATGCGAGCGGAGCCCCTGCCGCGGCAGGGACGGGGGAAGCTGAGCAAGTTCCTAAAGCCTCTGGTGACTCCGTGCCTATACACAGCTTCTTGCTGCAGCCTGGGGAACCTCTGTGACCGCACCGACCCCGGCCCTAAATCACAGATAACCCTGCGACGATGCCACTGGAACAGGAGTGAGGAAGGCTAAAGCCCTCTCGCCACGGCTGCTGGAATATACAATATGTTTCCTGAGGCCAAGTTGACATTCCTGCGGTGGAAGCATCTGCCTGGGGAAGCTTATGACTTGAACAAACTCACTGCTGCACAAGACAGACATAAATTCTCCCTGCTCCAGGGAGGTGGACAAGCAAGGGGAGGCTGGAAATGAGACAATCTCGCTTCGTATCTCAATTTGCATACCGCTGGCCAAATTGGAGCCCGGAAAGTATTGAAGCCCTTGCTCTCCTGGGCGCCCGCATCCCAAGCGAGCTCTGCAGAGGCAAAGTTACCGCCTGGTTCTGTTACGACCCACCACAGAGGCAGGCCAGGGTGCCAGAGACCACGCAGGGGTGCTGCCAGAGGGATGCGAGCCATCCCCTCAATGTCTTCTGGCTCGCTGCCGCTGGATGGCACCCCTTACCTCCAGATCAGCCGCACAGCCAGCTCCCAGCTCC